GCTATTTGTAATTAAGGATTGTCGTATAAAAATGAGTAAAAATGAATGAAAAAGTAAAGATGCTAAGAGTTTAACACTTTTGACTTTCAGTAAAAGGCATTACGTTCTGAATGGAGGAGATTACATTGCCCGCTTTGTGCATCAGCACAAAGCGTACCTTCTCCAAACTACAAGCAACTAAGATTATCAGTAGTCTGCTCTTTTCAAAACTTATGCAATGTGATTATAACATTTTCGGCATACACTACTAAAAACAATCCTATTTTGGAGAATAAGTAAAAAAGAGTCGAAAGACTACTTACCCTGAATCTGATTTCAATGGTCTCCGCTTCTGATTCTAGCGTATACGGTAGTATATGCAAAAAGCGCTCACCGGTTAATTCAACCACAGTTGGCTCTGGAACAAATGATTGCTACCTCAAAAGCTTCAAAATGCAATTATAAGCTTACCAATATTACATGTTGGACCCTCTTTATTGGTTTCGGCACAATCACAACTGAATGTGTTTTGGAAAGGCTCGCAACGTCCAAAGTTATGACATGGGTTGTTGGTGCAAGGATTTTCGGTTGGCGGAGGTGGGCAGCCTATTGAAATTCCTGAAAAGTCCGACTGATTCAGGAAAGCCATTTGGAAAAGCAAAATTTTAACAAACCAGTGGTATTAGATTTCTCAAATACAGTCGCAATTCTTGCGCTAATGCCATTGACACGAAGGTTCTTGATACAGCCAACAAATCCTTTCCGCAATGAAATCGACCATATTGTAGACGGATAGGATACTGTAGTGTTTGGCACCCAGCCAAGATAGATAGGATCATCTAGAAATATGAGCCAGAAACATTTTCAGCAACAACTGTTTTACTAAACGGACTCACCGACGATAAGATTCGATGAGACGCCAGGCGTGCTGAAGTCAGTCTTCATACTGTCTACAATGACGCTTCCAGTGCGACCAACTCGCTCCAGATGGACTGAGTGCCAACCGTTACCATCTGCCACACGACGAGCAGTTGTCTACAAAGGATAAGTTTCATATGCCATAAAAGAAAGATTAGAGACTAATATTGAGATCAGTCGTTAATGGTTGTTGTAGAAAAAACTCTAACCCAGAGAAAAATGAATAAAATCTTTAAGAAGAAGAAAATAGAGGGATTATGAACAGCTGGATACTAAACCCACCTGTAATCTTACGGCACCGCTGCCAAGGTTAATGATCATATGTAAATGACCGTCTATCAACTCGAAAGCGACATAATCAA